AAAAAAAAAAGAAAAAAAAGAAAAACAAAAAAAATAGTATAGGTAACTACTATTAAGGCCCCCATGATAGACCCTAAACCCCAAACGCTAAACCCTACAGGCCGCCTTATCTCGCAGGGCGCAGTAGTAGTCCCAGATGCCATCCTCGTCAGCTTACCAGTTCTCTTGCATGTTTCATGCTTTCACCTTGAACCCACGCCCCAAACCATGAAACCCTAAACCCTCAATGCATTGGGGGGGCCCCTTGTTATAATTATAATATAATGGGCCCCAAAACCCTATTCTAATTATTACGGCCCCTATATTAGTCGGCTTAGGGGTTAGGGTTAACCCTAAACCATGAAACCCTAAACGACGATCTAAGCCATGAAGCCCATAAGCATTTGTGGTTCTTTGCGCGCCGGGTTCAACCTGCCTGAGGCTGGTCGGCTTCATGGTTTCTTTACAGGTTTTATAGGGCTTAAGACATCTGGGGTACAGGGCTTACGGTCTCGATTTTTCGAGCTTCAAACCCCCAGTGGAGAAGTGTCTGTTCCACCAATTTCATTCCGAATCCGGTTTAGGGTTTAGGGTTTAGGGTTTAGGGGGCGGGCGGGGGCACATGGAGCAAGTCCAACTAAACCTCGTGTCTTGGACGGCTCGTGTATTACGTGATGCTGCAAAGCTCCGGATCCGCTTTGTGACGGTTACTATAGCGGCCTTGAAAATTAGAATAGGGTTTTGGGGCCCATTATAATATAACTATAATAAGGAACCCCCAACATGGTATTGGTAATCATCTGGGCTCCTGCACTACGAACTGACAGGCCTCCACACTGCGAATGGTCACCGATGACTAGTCCAAGCCCAAGCGAGCCCAAGAACCAAGCCGCGAAGCAGAGCAAACCCTAACGCTTCCCCAAAGTGTCCAAGTATTAATATGGTAGCTACTTTGTAGGTATTTGGGACCCAAAAGTCATATACTATACTATACTAAAACTTGGATCCTTTGGGAACCCTAAACCATAAACCCTAAGCCCTACGTTGCTTCAGTTATATATATATATATATACATACTATACTATAACTTGGACCCTTTGGGTTCTGGGAGCCCCCCTTCCACAATCACACCACGTAATGAATTATTCTGCCCAGTTATGTTGATGCAGATCTCTATGAATGAAGATCTTACAAGATACAAGCAGACTTAAAGTGGGAACCATGTACCTGGACCCTTACATGTAGCACCTTTTGTGGATGACTTGTTCTATGGTTAAGATCTAAGATCCCAGAATACCCTGAACCCTAAACCCTAAACCCAAAACCCAAAACCCTAAACCCAAAGGTAACCTTTAAGAGACTGGTTGTTCTCGGGGCCGATCTTCCGGCACACCGAAGCCTCGGTGCCCAGAGGGCCTAAGGCCCAGTGGTAATGAGGACAAGGCCGGGTTGCCTTTTAAGGGCTCTCGTGTAGGATCCCTTTGAAAGGGTTTAGGGTTTAGGGTTTAGGGTTTAGTTTAGGGTAACTTTAAGGGATCCTTTTCAGGCTGTGTTATAACATCCAGAAGAATTCAGCAGAACCTACCTAGACCCTCCATCTACCCTCTATTAGACCCTAAATACCTACTATTTGGGGCCATATACCCCTTTTTCTTGCGCACAAAGAGAGTCCTGGTACTAGTAGACGCCCTGATCCTAAATAATCGGGATTCCGAAAAGAGGGGACCCTAACATAGTATTAAATAGTAGGATCCTTATTTTAGGGACCCCAAAATAAGGTACCCCTAAACCCTAAACCCTAAATCCTAAACCCTAAACCCTAAACCCTACTTTTCGCAAACTCCCAAATATCGAACCAGGAGGTCACAGGCCTTGTCTGCATCAATGACGGCCAAATCAAAGGGGCCATCCTCAACAAGCTGTGCTTGGT